TTCCGGCAGATTTTTTAGGTTTTCCACAGGAAACCATGGGATAAATTTTACTCATCGCTGAGTTCCTGCACTTTTGGCGATTATGAGTAAACTAAACTCAAATTTGAGTCGTTCTCATTCGCCGTGTAGGTGTCTGTATCCGCTCATTTGCCGCTGATCCCGCATCTCAAGGGTGGACAAACTTGCTGTCTACAAATCAATAAAAAAAATTATAACACCTGCGATCCACTACGCAGCTCCGGTGCGGAATCATGTCAATTTTTGGGAATGTAAGACTCGCAAAGTGATCCAACAGTCTCGTTCTAAGCGACAGGTCGGAAACACTCCACGTTCACAATCAGGTACTAATTTCTTTGCTGTTCTATATTCGTTCTATATACCCATAGGTTCAAACAGCTCAAGTAACGAGGTTTTAAAGTACTCAACAAGTCCACATCATGATCTATAGAACTCGCATAAAACCAAAGTTGTTATTTGGGAGCTCACAAGCTTCAAATTCTTCATCTATACCTGCTGCTAACAAATTCAGCAAGTAAATGGAGCTACCTATGCTGCTATTTCAGCTGGAAGAAATCGAAGGCTGGTTTGATGCTATTCAAACTGGAGTTAAATTTGCGAACAATGGATTTTAAATCAATACATATTTTGAATTGGAATGCTCGATCTCTTAAAGATAAAGAAGACGAGATATTTAACTATTTTTAGAGTTCATATCGTGCATATCGCTGTTATTACTGAAACGTTCCTTAAACCTGACCATAAGGTTAAAAGGAACGCAAATTATACCATTTATCAAAATGATCGTCTTGATGGAGTCGGTGGTAACGATACCATCATTGTTCATAGACGTATGATATCATCGTACATCAAATTTCTTCATTTGAAACCGTAGTTTTAGAAACATAGCGAGTTCCTGTCGAAGCAAAATTTGGACAACTTACGTTTATGTTACCTGGTTGCCATTCCAATAGACCACTAAAATAATTTTCTCTTTCTTACACGTCATACGTCTAAATTCTTATTGGTGATTTTAATGCAAAACACCGCTTATGGAATAATGCTCAAAGCAATTCCAATGATAATATTCTATATGATGATTGTTCTGCAGGTTATTACTTTTTTCAATATCCAAATAGCCCAACATGCTTTTTTCCAGCAAGAAATCCGTCAACCATCGATTTGATTTTAACTAATTCATGTCAACTTTGTTGTTGCACATGGTGACTTCGGTTCTGATCACCTTCCCGTAGTTTTTGAAATATCCCAAGAAATAATTTCTAATCCCAACCGCTCTACTTTCAATTACCATAGAGCTGATTGGGAGCATTATCGAACATTTATCGAGTAAAGCTGTGATAGAAACATCCCTTTGCAAACCAAAGACGAAATAAATTACGCTCTTGAATCTCTGACTAGTTGAAGCAACAGTTGCATCAGTACCAAAATGCGAGGTTAAATTCGATTCAATTATAAAAGAGGAAGATCTGCAGCTGCTCCGTCTGAAAAATGTCCGTAAGAGGCAATATCAAAGAACACGCGATTCTGCCATGAAAGCTATTTGGCGGGATTTGCAAAAACAAATTAAAAAGTGATTCTCTGTTCTGAGTAACAAAACTTTTGAAAATAATGTTTCGAAATTAACCCTAGTTCCAAGCCCTTTTGGAAACTCACAAAATTTGAAAATAACTTCAAAAGCCCATTCCAGCCCTTCCAAGAAGGCGGTAAAATTTTGATAAAAAATTCGGTAAAAGCTAAGAAATTTGTTAAACAATTCGAGGGTCCCCATAATTTCAGTTTGGGTCTTGGGGCTGTTCATTATCTACGTAAACAGTTCTTTTTTGGGATTCTTGCCCCTGGACTGTTTTGGACGAAGTAAGATCTATAACTTAAAAGTTGCAGAATATGAAAGCTCCAAGTGATGGTGGAATTTTCTATATCCTCATCAAAAAACTCTCAGAGAGTACCATGTCAATCTTGGTAAAATTATTTAACAGATGTTTCCATTTGGCATACTTTCGTGAACAACTTTGGCAAAGTTGTTTCAATTTTGAAGCCGGATATAAATCCAGCTGAAGCTTCTAGCTACCGTCCAATAAGTTAGCTTTCATCAAGAAGTAAACTTTTTGAAAAGATAATTTTGAATACAATGGTGCTTCACATAAATAAGAACTTAATGTTTGCAGATGAGCAGTTTGGATTTCGCCATAGGCATTCAACTACTCATAAACTCTTAAGAGGTATAGTTAAAACAAATCTGAAGGCTGCTCAACTGGAGTTGCTCTTCTAGACATAGAAAAAGCATTCGACAGTGTTTGGCATGAAGTATTGATTGCATGTAAATTATCAAAATTCAAAATCTGAACGACTACCTGTTAGAGTAAGAGTTTCTCTGGGTTGCATTACTGGACCTATATTGTGAAACATTTTCACTTCAGACCTCCCTGATTTCCCTCAGGGTTGCCAAAAACGTTTGTTCGCCGACAAAGGCATTTCAGATAAAGGAAGTGTTATTTGCAGCAGACTGCAGAAAAGTTTAGAGATTTTCTCTTCTTTTTTACGAAAATGAATGATTTTTCCCAACGCATACAAAGCTCGATTAATAATATTCCCTCATAAGCCAAGAGCTTCCTTTTTAAAACCTAGCAGTAGTCACATAGTCACTATTAACGGAGTTCTAATTTCTTGGTCAAGTCAAGTGAAATATTTTGGATTAGTATTTGACCAAAATTCAACTTTCAAATATCACATCGAGGGTATTCAATCAAAATGTAACATATATATAACAAATTTGTACCCGAGCAGAGAATGAAAATAAAATGAAAACTTAATATTTTGATATAAACGTTCATGATAACATATTTTGCCTACCGTGTGGTCGAGTTAACAGTAATCATAACAACAATGAGATCTAAATGGTATATGAAGGATATTAAAAAGATAACAAATAAGGTTTTCTTCAATCCTTTAATTTGTCGAACCTCTTAACGGAATCCCTTTATGAAGAGCTTTGAGTGGGTTGGTTTATTTCCTTTAAATTCCGTTACGCGTATTTCGTCTATTACTTGCAGACTTTATCAGTGCCAAGTACTCAACACCACTCAAAGCTCTTCATAATGTTTCCTTGTTAACAAATCCATGTATGCGTTTTTCAAAATGTTATTATAACTATGGTAGGAAAACAAAAATAAAAATACAAAAACTGAATTAGTTATTATTTTGATTTCATGTTATCAAATTTAATAAACTGAATGTTTTGAAATCTATTGGTTGATATCAAGATTCAAAATCAAAAAATATTGTCTATAAAGTGCGAACGGTGTCATATTAATGTACAGAACTGGAAATAATCATCCAGTGGTACAAATTTCAAGAAAGTATATAATTAATCGCTTTTGTCATTATAGACAAATAAAAGAAGTTAAACTATGACGAACGATTGAAGTTTATTAGATCCATTAGCATAGAAATAGACGATGTGAAGTTTTTAAATTTGGAGATTCGTTTTCATGACAAATTCTAATGGAATTATATGCAATATAGGAATAGGACACACGAATCATGTAAAAAAATAGTCCACGATGACTCTTATATTATTATGAATGAAAAATTCCTTCGCATCGAACATATTTTAACAGACATAAATGACGATATTTATTTTGTTGGGAGAGAACTGATAGTTAATGAGATTTATGACAACATGTATATGAGCTAAGAAACCGACTTAGCCTACGAAAGTTAAATTACAATATTCGACAGTGTATTAGTATAAGTATTACAGACGACCAGGACGAAATCAATTTTATATCGATTTGTAAATACAATTCGTATGCAGATTAATGTAAAACAACACTGTAAAAATCATAATTTTCTTTGTGATGTTCATGAATAAAACAGCAAGCATCCTGATTGACTCGCAAGAAGAAAAAATAAAATAAATGTAGATTGCAGTGATAAATATGGATGGTTTTTTTTTCTATAAAATATCAAACCTAGTTGTTGCACTACCAGGAAAAGCACTTCAAAGGATTCAGAACAAAGTTCTGAAGATGATTTTGAAGTTACTTTCCTGGTACAGTACTACCGAGGGGCATAGAATTTCGAATTTTAAGTTTTTAGATCAAATGTCCAACACAATAATTAATAATTTAATAATAAGATCAGATTTATTTTTAGTTTTTAGTTTTAAGGTTTCAATTGTTATACTGACATGCAGGTATAGAAAACCTGTTTAAAATACTGAAGCAGGATCAATGTAATCACATGCCTTTGACATGTTACAATTATTATTATTTAGCTTTATTTAGGAGGCTTTCAGCCTTAGGCTGGTTCGCCTCCAAGACATGTTACAATAAATTGTAGCACGAAAACGTCACGGCGAATACACAACTTCGACAAAGTTGTTAAGAAAAATAAAGTCTTTCTGGAAAAAACATACACGGTAATTATTTTTAATAATTTTGAGTAAAAATTCCTAAATAGTGTACAAAATCTTAATATCTCCAAAAGTTAATATATTTTTATAGAAATCTAATAAAAATGCAAAATTTTGGAATATTTAAACCATGAACACTTGAAAATTGACAAAAATCGTAGAAATTGTTAAGCTTTTTTCTAGTTCGCTGTATGTAATGTAATTTCTACACAGAAAACAAAATTTAAACTTTAATCTATGGCACCCCACCCCCTTCAACAAATTTGCAAAATATTGACGGAGCAGGATAAAAAATTAGTATCAGTAGAATGCTGCCCGTAATGAATTACTATTAATATGGGACAATTATGCGATTATAGCTGGGATACTAGCCTTAATCTATTCTATTTATTTTAAGATGAATCTGCTAGATATTCAGAAGTATATGTTTTTTTTTTCGTCCCTTGTTATTTATTTTTGAACACCCCCCCCCCCCCCCCCCATTTTCCAATTTGAGCAATGTCGGTCATAAAGTGAAAATAATAATTTGCGTCGGCCAGTGCCATTATATCTAATGAGATATACTTACACATAATTGACTGTACTGGTGGCAGCCACGGCGTCTCCATTGGGCGCCAGAATGGATATGTGTGCTGTTCCATGATCAACCTCGTTGGCAAAAACTGCACCGTAATGTTCATATTCTGAGAAAGTCCTATTGTCGAGGATTCCGTCACGGATGAAGGCAGCATAGTTTAAATTAGTCAATTTTCTCAGAGACTCTTCAATACCTGGTACAAATGGTGGATCACCTAGCAGGGTACGGAGCCCGTATCCATGCTTGAATGCTTCCACAATTCGATGCCACGTAAGAGGATCCTCTACATCCATCTGATCATAGCCGTCAATGATGTTGAGCATGTAATTCAACACGTGTCCACTACCCGGTAGTGGCATAGAGTATACATGGTTGCCGTTTTTCAATTCGGTAGCTGCTGGTGGTAGCCATCGTGGTCTGGAAGTAAAAAATAATATCTGTATCCTTTCCTGAAGTAACAGGTCTCGAATGTTTTCTTTACGTACTCATAATTATAAAAGTCGTTTTCCGTTAAAATACTGCCAAATAATTTGAGATCGCGCATTAGCTTCGGTAGCAATGTACCATTTCGGCTATACAGAGCATCGGCTCCTTCATTAGCTATTATTTCTAAACTATCTGCTAGAGCAAGTCTTTTGATGCGTTCGCCTTCTCTCCAGGTCTCATTGGTAGCTGGGTTGATTAAGATCTCTCGTAGCGAAGGTATGCTGTAGATTTTCTGTTGGCGGGGTTTGATAATACGGTCCAGGTAACCCGAAACCAAATGGCCCTCACGGCACAAGTCGATCGTTGGCTGAATCAACGATTTCCAGTCTAGCTTTCCATACCTTTGATGCATAGCCCAATAACCTTTTATTTCACCTGGTACTGCTACAGCAAGCCCTCCCTCGATTGCAGCATTTGGGTTGTTGACGTACATGTTTTTCGTAGCTGCGGCCGGCGCCGTTTCCCGTGCATCTAACGTTTGGACTGTTCTAGTGCTTCGGTCATAGATCGTAGCAAAAAAACCTCCTCCAATACCGGCACTTTGTAGACAGGTTACACCTTCGCAGAATAATACTGCAATGGCGGCATCAACAGCAGATCCATTGAGCATCAGGATATTGGTACCTATTTCTGCGCATTCAATGCCGTTTGAAGTCACGGCACCACCGCTAAGTATCCGCTTTTCGTCTGATACATCGCTTTTCCTATTTTTAAGGCCGAAGTACAATCCTAATGCAGTGGCTACTACGACTATCGCTGCGCACCCTGAAACGAGTAGCAACTTCCGTTTGTTGATGTTTATTCTGAAAATGGTTCAAAAATAGTCGTTTCATTAAACAGACCTTATGATCTGATGGATTCGCATGCCATACGAATAGATACGTACACCACAAAAGCCACACCGCATAACCACACCGAACGAACCGGCCGTGCATAACCATTATACATTGCCTTGATATGAAGCGCATGATCTGACCCTGCTATAGATGATGTTGTGTTGTGTTGTATCAAACTCTGCTTTTTTTTGTGTCACGAGGCCGAAAGGAACCATTTCACTTTTTGAGCAAGCTTTCGTTTATCGATAGGTTTGTGCACTAATGAGGAAGCACTTGTTTTGTGTTTTGGTGTTTATTTTGTGCAAACATATATGACAGATAGATTGTGTTTTTCGCGTTAGTAATAAGAATATTAAATAAAACAGTTCAAATTTCCTTAACTTATATACATATCAAGAAAGGTATGCCAGCCAGTAATGGTTGTTTTGTCTACTGAAGCATGTATAAATATTTGCATCAAGTCTATAGGCCACAAATGACCTGGCCGAACACTAAACAAATCATTTATGAGAGCGCTGGCGTAGTAAATAGTTTAATACATTGACCTGCTATGAGTAACGATTCAAGGTATTTACTCACGATCCAATTCTACATCATTTCAATAAAGCTATGGGAAAATGCATGGTTCAATGGATAGGGAATCACCCTTATCGCTACCGCATCGATTTGTATTGGATTTCGTTGGTATTTACACATCGTCATATTTGTAAACTTGTCACACATTATTTAATTTTGAATTATTATGAAACTTATTTAATTATAGATTGTCAATATTTAGAAAAGTGTGGCTATGAGTCATCTTAAGTTGTTTATGAACCAACACATTATTGCACCATTCTTAAAATTAGCACATATGAGTTTATTGCCTCATAGGCTAGGCTTTTTACGCTTCTGTAGCGAGCGGCTCTAAACTAAGTGTTCTTGATGCACTTCCTAAGCTATTAAATGAGAGCTTTCTGTGCCAACCAATGCATGAATTTGTATATTGTGTGGCAAGCACTCTATGCTCAGGAAAATCGAGAAAATTTCCAACCCGAAAGATTTCCTCGACCGAACCGCGAATCGAAGCCGCCGCCTCTAGCTTTGTACGACTGTGCCTGAGGCCCCAGCTTAGTATAGAGTACTCAATATAAAAATGAACCAGTTTTGTATACCAGGTGTTTATATATCGCTTTCCCTGACCAAAGCTGAATGTGCAAATATTAATATGGATTACATTACTGTGTTCAATTCCATCTTATTTAGTTAATCAGCTCCCCGAATTTTGTTTGTTTTCCCGTTCTAAAGAAATTAAAATAGGTAACAACATATTTTTTGCTGTAGTTGATTTGCATTGGCTTCGATTAAATTCAATTGTAGTTATTGCTATAGAGTTGAATGTTTCATGGGTCATGGAGTGTTCAATTAAAAATAGTTTCGATAACAATCAAACTTGCTTAAAGAAGTTCAAGCTCTCCGGCGGCGATGATAAATGTTGTTTTTACATGAAATCAAGTAGCACGCACGCGGAAATTTATATTAAGAGGCTAAGGTCAACAAAAAAAAAACAGATGCTGTCTTTGGTGTAGTGATTGTTCCTTTCATTTTAGATTTAAGCAAACCAGATGTCTATGAGCTTCTCTGCAGTAGCGTTCAATTACACGTAAATTGCACAACATGATATTTTTTTTTTCATGAGCATATATTTAGCGGTGCAAATTAATTCATTCAACTCAGCATCTGGTCTTCCGTACAAATATGCCTAATTGCCCGTCGATAATTCAAACCAAACGTACGCATAAAATACAACGTATTGGGGTCACATTTCCATGAAAACGTGCATAACAAAAATGCACATGCAGTTGCGATGCCTGTTATGCATTATTTAAATGTGTGTGTCTTCAATAGTCACGGGGTACGATCCGTAGACAGGTAAATTTGTTTAATTATTGCTGACAAAATCCATCATCAAAAAGTAGAGACGTTCGAAAATTATAAGGTGGGCTAAAATTATGCAAATCCGCAGAGTTTCTTCTGTAGTTTTTGAAAAATCCCTTGAAATTTGGAAAATCCGTCGAATTTTAAGGTCGATCGGTGGATCCGTAGTAACTATAAAAACAAACCGCTTACTTTGAGTTTCCAGCAATTGCGTCAGCGAGCTATACGAGCTATAATAAATATAAAGTTTTCAGCAATGTTGTTCAGCTGGAAAATATCCGTCAGACAGAAGTTTCCTGTTTTCAGCAAAGTTGCTCAAATGGACAAAACACGTTCAGTAGAGAACAGTTTAGTTGAGAATTGGCTCACTAGGGGGCGCCAGAGTACAAACTCAGGATCGAGACCAGATAGAAGTTTGCAGACTTCATCAAAGTTTTTCAAATGGACGAGACTCGTTCAGCAGTGAATATTTTAGTTGGGAATTGACTGATTAGAGAGAGAGAAACAGTAACTCAGGAGCATGACTAGACTGAAAGTTTTTGCCTTCAGCAAAGTTGTTTATCTGGATAAGATGGGCCATTGTGCCAGTTTACAGTTTATTTGGGAAATGAATCACTAGGTGGTGCTAGAGTACACATATTATTCTTCTAGTGCTAACTTACGATGGAGACCAGACCAGAGACGATTCCTGGATCCAGCAAAGTACTTCAAATGTGCTAGATTAGATTATTACTTTAGCTCAAAATTGATTCGTTAGGTGGCGCCAGAGTGCATAAAATGTCATTCATGCAATAACTACAGATCGCAACAAGATAGAAGTTTTATTTCTTCAGCAAAGTTTTTTTTTTCAAATGGACCATACCCGTTAAGTTGTGAACAGTTTAGTTGGGAACAAACTCGCTATGAGGTGCCAAACTTCAAATAGAGTTCTTCTAAAGATAACTGAGGATCGTGACCAAATTGATGTGTTTTGTCTTCAGTAAAATTGTTGAGCTGGATAAGACCATTCTGGTAGTGATCAGTTTAGTTAAGAATCGAGTCAATTAATCACTAGAGTGCAAAATGTTGATTTTTATTTAATCCGATGCAATGTTTTTGTTTTGGGCAAAGTTATTTATCTAGACAAGCTCCATCTAGCAGCGGACAGTTTATTTTAGAATAGATTATTTACTAGTGTATATATTATATTCATATATTGCATATTGCTTTATTGTTTGCAAATATAGTAAAATGTTGTCTCGTTAGTTTTATACTGACTAACAAAATGGAGTGCTTAAACAAAAAAAAAAAGTTTTACATTTTTGGATTTAACAGACTGTAATACTGGACACATAAAATAATACACCATACTTTTTTGACTCTCCGGGGAAGTTCAAACAGCTGTTAATTTTCAATTTGTGCATGAAATTTTTTGAAATTTTAGCTGCTGGTTTAATTTTATTAAATCAATTCTAATTTGACTACCATTTTTAATCTGTTATTTATTTAATTTAATCTATCTGTATAGGGGAATTTACGTATTCTCGTCAATCTAAGCAGTGTCCACACTTCTATTAGCATTTTCTCAGCGTCACGCACATATATGACGTGTCTGTTGGTTTACATTCATCTGCTGCTTGCTTCTCCATCCATTTTAATCGACAGAATTCTTCAAAACTGTTTGAAAGCGTTTTTACAACGCTCCAAACTTCTCAGGTGAGTGTGACTATTGTCGGCAGCCTCGTTTTCTTCGGCAACCTTCCCATTAGAACTGCGTGTTAACCAGCTGTTCTATTATCGGCAACTTGAAATCAACCCCATTTTAGAGTACGTATGCTTCATTTGAATAAAAATCTGCCATAACAGGACTGCTCAGACATACACATACAATCAGATTGAAGCTGAAAGACTAAAGAATCGTTTGGATGCATTCAGGGAAGTGTGTTGATGGGAAAACATAGTGAAATTAACGTTTAAATTTTGGTTGCCGAAAACAGTCAATGGGTGCCGAAGCCGACATTTACCCTATATAAAAATGAATTTCTGTCTGTCTGTCTGTCTGTCTGTCTGACCCTTATAGACTCGGAAACTACTGAACCGATCGGCGTGAAAATTTATATACAGGGGTTTTTGGGGCCGTGGAAGGTTCTTATGATGGTTCGAGACCCCTCCCCCTTCTGTAAGAGGGGCTCCCATACAAATGAAACAGAAATTTCTGCATAACTCGAGAACTAATCAAGCAAATGGAACCAAATTAGGCATGTGGGGGTGAGTGTGGGGGTAGCCCCTTAGACAATAGGGGGGGGGGGGGCTACGTACAATATAGCATGCTTTTTTTTAAATCGGCGCATAAACTCAAGCTAATATTGAATCCCGAGCAAGACCGGGCACACTCAGCTAGTCTTCTATATATATAACAATGAATTTCTGTCTGTCTGTCTGTCTGTCTGTCTGTCTGACCCTTATAGACTCGGAAACTACAGAACCGATTGGCGTGAAAATTTGTATGCAGGGGTTTTTGGGGCCGGGAAAGGTTCTTATCATGGTTCGAGACCCCTCCTCCTCTATAAGGGGGGGGGGAGTGGCTCCAATACAAATGAAACAACTTTCTGCATAACTCGAGAACTAATCAAGCAAATGGAACCAAATTTGGCATGTGGAGGTCATAGGGGATATCCCTTTAGATAAGAGAGGAGAGGGGGTGGGGGGTCTACGTACAATATAGCATGTTTTTTTTTATCGGTGCATAAACTCAAGCTAATATTGAATCCTGATCAAGGATGGACATACTCAGCTAGTGTACAATAAACAAAATAAACTTAAAAAAAAAAGTATAATGTTTTGTCATGACATTATTAATTTAAAATACTTAATGTTAACTAAAATCCATTCACCACGAAAAAGGTTTCAACAGTTTGGTTTTCGAAGTCTATGAAAAATTACTAATATTTTATCCTTCCTAGTGTATTAAGGTCTACTAATATGACCCAAGCGACTCTTACAAATTGCTGTAAAATCACAACGGAACAAGCTACAAAGTTGAAATTTTGCGACTTTTCCTAACTTTTTAA